TTTTACTTTGATGTTAAGTGTTATGCACATGTCAGTTAAGCACTCCAGTATCTCCAATGCCTCTCGCAGATATTCTCTCTTCCATTCACATTGAGCTCCATCACATTGTGATTTACAAATGAAGTAATACCCTGATAATACCCTGCTATACACAATAAAAAGGAATATAGCACAATGAAGGTGTATATGTTAAAAACACACATGGTCATTGTGATTTAAACTTTAAACACTTTTATTATTGTTATTCATATTTGGTTAAGCTTAATGTTCTAATTGACATTTTTATATTGCTTCTATGCTTCTATTACTTCCACAGATGCAGCCATACAAAGTTATAAATATTCAAAAAGACTACAAAAAACTAAAACTAAAATCTTCAAAGGCACATCATTGAACCTTCAAATTCAAATAAATATTTAATTAAATGTTCTTGACTTCTTGAATTTTTTATATGGTTTCATGTAACAGGTGAAATTTGATAAAGAGATTGAAGAAGGAGAAAGAAAGATAAATTCAAGTGTTTTGCAAAGAGTACACAAATAAACACCCAAGTTAGGAAAACATGTTTTAAATGTTATTTTTTTACAACACCAAAATAAATTAAATAGTAAAATTATGATTTAGTTTTTTTGCTGTTGTTAAGATTGTAAATTTTCTATGAAGGTTTAGCCTTTATTTATTAGCAAAAATATACTAAACTCACAGCTGCAGTCACAGGTACATTATTTCTGTAAAAACTCTGAAATAAAAGGAAAATATACTGTATAATGTAATAGAACCATAATGCTCCATCTGTTTTTGGCTGATTTAATGCTGCTGTTTAGGATTGTAATACTGGAACCAACGTTTATCCAGTTTGTGAGCAAAATAATATTAAAATCTCAGCTTTAGCTGCAGGGTCTCCATGTGCCACCAGCAGTTCTCCTCTATAAATACTGATCATAAAAAGTTGTGTAAAAACATTAAAATAAAATGAAAATGATCTAAAACATATAAAACAACAATAGCACTAACATTAAATAAAAAGTAATAAAAGGTTTTATTATTTCTCAAAAATGGAAATCTACATAGACATTTGGGAAAAATACCAAGGATAAAAGCAATCCTCCAGCTTTTTCAAAACAGTTGTTTATTTGCTTGGATCAGGACTTGGTGGTACATTAATACATGATCTATAATGAAATATGAATTTAATACAGAATAAGAATTAGAAAAAAGATTTTAAAAACAAACATTTACAGAATTAAATTAGTTATAACATTATTTATGTTTCTAACGTTAAGAGAAGACTGTAGATTTAAATCTCTTTAGAAAACAGGTTTATCAGGGAGGATCCTGTTTTAAATATCTTAAGGGTAACAATCAGGTTAACAGACTTCTGGAACCAGGGATAAAACAAAGCATAAATTATAGGATTGATGACTGAATTAAAAAAGAACAGCCAACCTAGAACACGAAGTACTAAAGAGGACCGGTCCACATTTTTAAGAACGAGACTGCATATATAATATGGTATCAAACAGAGCAGAAATGCAATCACTAATATTCCTAATGTTTTTGCAGCTTTCCTTTCAGATTTTGTGGAAATTTTATTATTGCCTCCATCTGCTGAACGCATCTGCTCTGTAACAGTGCTGATTGCTCGTGCATGCTTTCGAGCAACTATGAAAATCTTGAAATATAATGTTATCATTACAGACGAAGGCAAAATCAACGTACATAATAAATCAATTACTACCCAGCTTTTAGACATGAAAAGCAAACAGTCTCCAGTGCAAAAGTTTTGTATTTCAGCACCATCAATATTTCCATTTAAATACATGAATGTTGAATTGTACAGTAGTGATATCATCCAATTAAGCAATATGACAGAAGCTGTTACATTAACTTTGACTTTAGTAGAATAAAGTAATGGGTGACACACAACAAAATAGCGGTCAATAGCTATGCATGCAACATTACCAATTGAAACAGAAGTGAGGAAGAAAAACAAGATTTTATAAAGTATGCAAAACATTTCCCCAAAATACCAACAGGTTTCTATTAAAAAAAACGAGGAGACAGGCATCACAATTGTTCCTACTAGAAAGTCTGCCACAGCCAGAGAAAGCATTATGAAGTTTGTTGGTGTGTGGAGCTGCTTGAAATGAGAGATAGAGATGATCACCACCAGGTTTCCACACACTGTCAGCACCACCACTGCCACTGCAGAAATATACATCACCACATACACAGCTGGAGATCGCACTTCCTTCAGGCAGGAAGAATTAGATTCGAAGCAGTATTCGACTGCTTGTAATTCTGACTGTTCCATGGAATAAAGTCACCTTAAAATTCTGACTCTTCTCTTCAATTCAAATTTGAAACCAGTACTTTATAGTTTTAATTATAAATTTGTGATAAAAAAAGACACAATCAATCCACTTTGTCCGCTTAACAGTGTCTGACAATAACATGTGGGTGGTGTGACATTTATAACACAAGAGGAGTGTTAACTCCTCCTGCTATGAGCAGGATTTGATGACAGTTTCTTTGTTCAAATAATCTCTATTTTTCTGGGGTTATGTGAGGGAGCTAACAGAACAGCCCCCCACCATATTGAAATGTAGAAGGAAATAAGAGTAAATATCAATGAATTTTGAAATAAGCTTAATAAATAAAATGTAACTTGAAGATGGAAACGTACATTATACCTGTATTTAATGTGTGTGGAAAAATAACATAGTAAAAGGACAACAAATTAATTTAACACACTAAAATAACTGGAAGTGTTTGTTAGAATCAGAGGTATAAATGCAGTCTGCTGTCATGGTTTTTCATGAGTAAAAAATGTTTAAAAAATGCAGCAATACATTGACATGACATGCATCAGTACATTTTAAAAATTGCTTTTGGAGACACCTCCCACGTCTTAAATGCACTTAATCATTAGAGCTCACTGTTTTTCTACCACACAGAAAAAAAAAACAAAACATAAAATGATGAGATCGTTAATCTAATTTCTCTGCATCATAAATTCTCATAAATTAAAAAAGCCTCTTGACTTCACTAGAACCCAAACTATGATCGGACCATGGCTAGGACATCAGAAGTCAGAGGAAGTATATGAACTACAGACACAGTTTAATAAGGATATTAGAAGAGAAAGAGGTAGAAAGGAATATTCCATTGGAGGCTAAAAAACACATGTTTATGCTACTATATTCCTTGATATTTATATATTACTAGCTTAACTGGTTTATGTATAAACTTTAGGAAATTGCATCAGCATGAATGGGCATGGATCAGGTAAGAAACAGGTAAAGGTTTATCCATGCTGAGGGGTAAATAAAAGAAACAGAACATTTATACTACTTTCAAAACTACAACAAGAACAAAAGGAGCATTATGAATGAAGTAAAATATACCCAAGACAACAACAATACATTTTTAGATACTGATAAGGAAATGGCACATGAACTACAGTATGCATTAATGTAACTCTGCTTTTCAGTAATTAAGAAATAGACAACATCCACCAAGCAGCAATACATATTTTTTAATAATAGTACTCAGAAGAAACTGAAGTGTTTCAGGTATTTGAAGGACTCAAGATAAATGAAACCCCAGGGTTCAAGGGCAACTAATCAATTTTACTCTACGAAACAAGAGATGTTATTCTGAAGCTACTAACCAAACCCTTCCAACAATCGCACAGGTCAGGGATAATGGCTAAGGACTAGAATATAGCTAATGTACCGCCGATCCATAAGAAGGCTGACAAAACTGACCCAGGTAATTTCGGACCAATAATGTGTATTATATGTACAAGTAAGGATATGAAAACTCAACTGTGGCAGGCCAGCAGTATTGAGCATATTGCTTTCAGCTGACCTCGGCTGACCTGTTACTAGGATCATTTGGGCCTCTATCACTTGTAAATACAGATGCAGCCATGCAGAATGTGCATAGGCATGCAGCGGTAGGCACAGCAGAATACAGAGACTGCACTACTCTGTAACCCTGTCAGGGGGCGCTGTGAAGACTTAAATTTCCCTTCCACTATTGTGCTGCAGAGTGGTGTACTGTCAATGGAGGTCAAGCGTTAATGGTGCATGTAAAGAAAAAAACATATTAAAGTTAATAAACTATACTATATTTATAAAACCATAGTTTTATAAAAATAAAAATATTTTAAACATGTAAAGCGAATAAATACCACTCAAAAATTCATTAAAATCCAGATCACGTAAATAAAACCTCATAAGCGTTTTTAAAATTCAGCCTTTAGTGACCACATGATGAATGAACGTAGTTTCTAACATTTTGGGGGGCTTTTGTGAACGTGGTGTTAAGTGAGATTTAATCATTTTTAGAAAGTGTGCTGCAGCTGGAGAAGGATTGGAATTTGTGCCTCAAAAGCACAATGCACCTGTGTGTCGACAGAAAAAGAAGTACAGTAATATAGTGAATCAAAATTAAATATTTAAACCTCTTAGAGTTTCTGGTTTCATGCACTTATCATATTCTAGTAAAAATAACTTCTCAACATTGTGTCGCATGCGTCCCCAGTAGTAGGCTTGCTGGATTCATTAACAAAAAAAAATATTATCCTTATAGTAGTAATGGACAATGAAATGCTCATGGACTGTAATGTAGCCGGTTCAAAGCCTGGTCAGAGTTTTGCTTTAAGTATCTTAATAACAGAATATATGGATATAGTTTAGAATTATAGCTTGTTGGGATTGCAATGTGCCCCTTTCAGGTTTACATATGCGTTGGAAAAATCTTTTGTCTTTATCCAAATTTCAGCAACTAGCAATAAACAAACAATGCAACTTTAAATTTAAGACTTTAAACCTTATATTGTACTGTACAGTGCTGTGCCTTCCAAAGACTTACTGGGAGGTTGTTTTCAGCAAAATTGGCTCTGGTGTGAGTGTGTATATCTGAATTATCATACAGTACGTGTTTTTTTTTTTATTAAGGATTTCTTCACAGAATTCTTTAACTCAAACAAAAGAGGAAAGAAGGGGTATTTTTACAACTGCCAGTAACTAAAGAAACCTTATGAATATGTTGAAACTGTACCATAACAGTGAAGACAGGTGTGTTACACCTTTGAGTGAACCAGTGACTCATTATGTTGTTTATTAATGTACACTGTGTAGATGTTGACAGTCTTGATATGTGAAATATTTTAGACCCTAGAGCTCACTTATTAAACTCAGAGATCCTGACTGATTTGTCTTTATATTTGCCTCATTTAGCTGAAACAGAAAAGATTACAGATTACAGAAAAGTGAATGCTGAAACTCACCAGATATCATATGTACTGTAAGTAACAATGGGTTTGAAATATTAATTTCATGGCTGACCAATCTGTAATCTCTTTAGAACACGCCCAACTCCATCCAGAAATACATTTATTTCAAATGATAAAGTGAAACTTCTGCTTTTGAATTATGTTTAGGGATTGCAAAATAAAATATTAAATAAAAATATTTTGATTAGCAGCAGACTTCATAATCAAAACATAACACTAAAATTCATTTTCAATTTTCAATTCAAATTCAATATCATTTAAGTAGGATTTGACTTATCCTACCTAAGCATTTAATTGCACTTGGCATCAGGCAAATAAACAGCACTGAAGTGTTTTTTTCACATATATTGCTGAATATTTCTATTCATTTCAGTATATATACTGAATCAAATTACTTAAATAAATTAGAAATGTTAACAGTTATAACAGATTGTCAAAGAAATTATGCCACAGTATTTCTCTTTCTTGAGTTTATGAAAATAAACCATAAAACACAAATCTAGATGGCCCAGTCGTTCTACTATCCACATAAACTACACCTCCCAGCAATCCACGGTTCTGCTCCCTTGGGAGCTACAGGTCCCACCCAGCCTAGGTGGTTTATAAGTAGTTATAATTTTAATCATATGTTTATTGTTTTTAATTTGAACCTTGCAAGTGTTCATGGGAAATGTAGTTAAAATTAGCATCTCAAAACTTTAAAAAAATAATGACAGCAAATGACCAAGTTAAAGAATTTGATTCAGTTCAGTTGAGTTTATTTGTCATATATAAAGTGCAATGAAATGCTTCTTTGTATGTGTGCTCCAATACAAAGACATGAAAGAAATCACTGAAAACATAAACACAGAACAGCAGCAGCAACAACAAGTTAAATTACAGCTTAAAAAAAGACAAGCAGTGTGAGATAAAACAAATACATAAGCGTGAGCCAGTGGTAGGGGTAGAGTTCAGCAATCTGACAGCTTGTGCGTAGAAACGGTCTCTGAGTCTGGACGTTTGTGCCTTTATGCTCCTATATGGGGGGAGAAAAGTGAGAAACCAGATGACTGGTATCCTTAGCGATTCATCCGGCCTTCCCGAGACAGTGAGTTGTAAAACGCGTTTGTGTTTGTCTGGGTGCTGACAAAGTAAAAAACAATTATTTTTTGACAATGAAAAAGTGTGTGTCTCTCTCTCTGCTGGCATGCGGGTGCGGTGGGGTGCTGTACCAGCTATACAGAAAATTAAAAGTGCCCTTTTCTATTCAACGGGTGTCTGAGTCGCTGTGTCCTATCTTCTGACAGGTGCTGTTGTGAATGTCTGTAGCTTTTTCACGAAATCTCACTGAAAACTACCAGCGAGCTAATTCTCTTTTTGTAAACCTCCGGTTTTTCACTGATGCGTAATCACACACTAACTGGAACCCCCGGGGTGGGGGGGTGCCGTGTGTTAAGAAAGTTAGGTGTTAGCATAAACTATTAGTGACTGGCTCTGGTGAAATTTCGCTGTGAACTGAAGAGTTAAATTGTAAAGTCTTTCCTCTTTTTAACGGGAAGAGACGTGGTGCTTGAAACATGAGAGTGTGTGTTTTTTTTCCTGGTTCCTGGTGGAACCAGGCTTCCATAAGAATCAAGTAACAGGTTTTATTCCATGCTGAAAAAAAGAAGAAAGAAAACACATTCCATAAGAATCAGCAACACCTGTTGCTCACCTGTTGAGGTTGCTCACACCTGAAAAAGTCTCCACGGCTAAAACGTTGTGTTGTCTTTCTTCTCTTTTCAGCCTGGAATAAACCTATTACTTGTTCCTTTGCAGCCTACGCATGCTGACGCAGCTACCCATCTGAATTAATTATATCCTTGTCTATTTTATACCTCACCATTTCACAAACATCTAATGCACCTCAATAGCGAGAGCCACCTATTGTATATGGCAAGCTGAAACACACCATGGTATACCACAGCTTGTTTAATATTGATAGAAATGTACAGTACTTGCAGAGAAAGACACTTTATGACATGCACCTT